GCCATCAGCCCAGAGCCCGACGCGGGGCTCGAACTCACGGACCGCAAGATCGTGACCTGGCTGAAGTCGGACGCTTAACCGACTGCGCCACCCAGGCACCCCTATAATTTCAAAATATACATAGGGATAGAATTGGTAATATTTGATAACTGTTCTAACTGATCTGAAAACAAAGTAGCTCATATAAAATTGCAATTCATTTTTGTCCATTGTGATAGTCCAGATAGCCTCAGTTCATCTATGGCTTTATTCAGTCTTTAGAAAGATGTGAAATACCAGTAAGATCTGACAAAGTTATCATTCTGTTAGGGAAATTGAACCAGTTACTCAGTTTCTGAAATAGGTTTGTGGTTTGTAAAAATGTAAATGCTACAATTCTTAGAGTTTTAATGTACTCCTGGTGTTCAGTGACTGGTAATCTTATCTTCATTCTATTTAAAATATGAAGGGCTTAGTAGTGGGAACTTAAAACAAAGGGTCTTGAGGCACCTGGGTAAGGCTCAGTCGGTTAAGCATCCGACTTTGGCTCAAGTCATGATCTTGTGGTTTATGAGTTCGAGCCCCACATGGGGACATGCTGACAGTGTGGAGTCTCCTTTGGATCCTCTGTCTCCCTGTCTCTGCTTCTTCCCTGCTTGTCTCTCTTTCTCTCAAAAATGAAATAAACAACATTAAAAAAAAAAAAGGTCTTTCCTGAATTATTTGAAAAGCTGAAAAACCATCTTAAAAAGGATGGGGATTTCATTTTATGAGCAAGTAGTATTATGGATGGATTTTGAAGAATTTATAAGTAGTAGATACTTTTATGGAGATACAAACATAAAAATTTAATAAATGGTGCTTGGAACCAGTTCAGGATTATGAACCAAGTTGCTTAAAGTGGAAATTATTCAGGAGAAAAATAGGCTGAAACTTCTTTTCCCAATCTAGGAACAAGTCTCAGAAATTATATGCATAAATCATAAACTGAGAGTTAAACGTAAAAACTTTAATTCAAGACTGATATTTATTCCTTTTATTGAAACATTTAGTATTTGAACAAGCCTCTGCAAAATCTCCATATGGCACTAGGTGGCACACTGTGACTTTGGATGAAAATAATATATTTTGTTTAAGTCTCCTGGAAGAAAAGAACTTAGATGAAAATTTTGTTTGAAATAGATAATCTGTAATGTTATGAAGTATCTCAGAGTCATTTATTGAATACCAAGACCTGATGCTGAGATTAAAATGTTTAAAACTACTGTACTTTAAGTTACTACTGACATCCTTACAATAATAGGGTTATTAAAGATGACTAGAATTTATTAGTTTATTGAAGAGTTCACTCAGCATATATTACAGAATGCACCTATACTTTTATGGAAAAATGATTTTCAGTCAGGCGTTGTCGTAAGATGAATGTTATACTGGTTTTGCATATGAAATATTAGAATTAAGAATTAAAATAAAGCTTGAGCTAGTAGCTCTTTCTTTGAATGTGTGCATGTGTACTGAATATAAAAGAACTAACTTTGCAAAATTTATGGTAGAACTGAAACATTTATAGAAGAAAGAATATTAGATTTCTAGTTTTCTGTTCAGACATTACTGCAGCATTGCTGTCTTGTGATAACTTTAGTTCCTAGAAATTCATGAATTTATGAAGACTCTTGAGTTAGAGAATAATGTATAGAATGATGGATTTTGTGATCTGATATGTATCTCCATTTATCTACGTATAAGATTTTATGTGATTGCATAATTATTGGACATATCTGAAATTATCGGAAAAAGAGCTGAAAAGCAGGCCACCTACTTAAACTTGTTCATCTGGCCTGAAAGAAATAGTTATACTCCTTGGTTAAACAATGCTTAGGTAACCTAAATGATAGATGCCAATCTAAGTTATCTATAGAGCTAATAATCATTGGGAGATGTGTTTAATCAAAAGGAGATTTTATTGTGTTAAATTTATTGGAAAGTATGGGAATAGAGATGATTCAAGAATTTTGCACAGGATGGAGTTGGAATAGTGGTCACAGATTAATGAGTTTTGGTGTAAGCTTATGAGTTAGGTAAGTAGATGCCACGTGTATATCTGGCGTAAAGTCAGAGGAATGAAAGAATGTAGGGGTAGGTATTTATTTTAAAGATGTAGAAGTTAAATTCTGGCTGCTTTCACACAAAAACTATGATTGAGTAGTTGTCACAGAGATTGTATGGCCTGCAAAGCCTGAAATAAATTATTATCTGGCCCTTTGTAGAAGTTTGTTGACCCATGCTTTAGAGGGTAATGCCTTTTTCGTCTCTTCAAGTCATACCACTCGTCAAGCAGTTTCTTTGAGAATAATGTATTGCTTTCTTTCACATACTCCCGCAATAAACAAGCAATTAAAATTAACCAGTAGGTGAGGAGAACCCAAAATGGAATGTGAATAACGTAATCACACTGAAAGTGGTGAGGATGGGAAGTACTAATTTAAGTAATTTTGGAAAACAAAATGCAGTACTTTGGATGCTGTAAGGCTAAAGATAAGAACTTTATAGAAATGTAATCTTAATAATATGTTTCTCAGAGTTGTGGGCTCGCAATTATGAAACTATTTTATGTGTATGTTAGAATTGAACATGTAAGTAAATTTAGATAATGAGAACTGAGTTTCTCACTGGTAGAGAAAGAAATTACAAATGAAGAAAGGGAAAGAGTAAAATCAACCCTACGCGTGGGATTAAAATCAGAGGTATCAGACCTGTGATACGTAAGTGGTGGTGCTACAGTGTGTACACAGCAGTATTTGTGCTTCTTAGAAGAGCACATTTCCAAACTGAAGATTGTATTTATTCTTGAAGTAATTTGTTTATTTTTAAAGTTGTAAAATCAGTCTTTTTAGAAATAAAAAATCTCTGACTTACTTTCTTTTCCTCGTTTAATCTTTCAATCCCAAATTAGTTTTAAGTGTTTCCTTTATGAGAAAATGTGAGAAATAATGAATTTGTCAGCCAAATATATTTTATATGTTGACTAATCTAATAGTATAATAAATATTCTCTTTTCTCTACATAGGCTTCATTCCAGCGCTCTAATAGTCATGACAAAGTAAGGAGAATAGTTGCGGAGGAGGGTCGTACAGCAAGAAATCTGATAGCTTGGAGTGTTCCACTAGAAAGCAAAGATGATGATGGTATGTGTTTTTAAAAAGTTTCATTTTTGTTGTAAATTAGGAGGATATATTTAGCCCTAAACAGTAGATAGACCGAAAACAGTTTACAATTCAAACTCTTGAGCAAATTAGCATGCATTAAATAGGAAATAACTTTTCTGTTGCTTTTTTATCTTAGCTAATATACAAATGGTTTCATGAAAGTGTTAGTTTTGCTCTTTCACATAGGAAGGAATGTGGGTTATGATCGGCATATTAATTTTCTTTTTTAAGTTATAGGAGATTTAGATTTTTTTCTTTTGTTAAATTCTTCTGAAAATAAAGAGGCTTTAAAATTTTACTGTATTCACCACAGTTACCTAGGTATAGTTTAATATAATGTTTTAGAAAATAAAAGATGAGTGTATTTCTTTAGTTATTATTTGAACTAGTTCTTTCACTTCAATGGGTAGAATGATTGTGAGCACTGCCTAGAACCTGGGGATCCAGAAGATTGTCTGGGGATATAGGAAAAAGGAGGGTGGAGTGTGCCAAAGGGCACCTCACTTTGAAATTTTCTGAGGGCTTGTAGAATATTCCTCATACTGGGTTTGTGTGATGTCCTTTCATGATTAGACTCAGTTACATATTTTTGGAGGGATTCTGTAGAAATTATGTTGTGTCCTTTTCAGGGCATCATAGGAGGCACAAGATAGTGGTTTTGTTTTGTTACTATCGATGTCAACATTTACCACTTGGTTATCTTCTGAGTTTCTCTACTGTTAAGTGACTAACTTTTTCATTTGTAATTAATAAGTAATATGTGGTAAGATAGTTTGAAACTATGTAAATATCTCTTAAAACAGTCTACCCACTACTTTCAGCTTCTGTTGATAATTCTTAGCTGAGTAAGTTATTACTCTGGTGGTTGTAAAATGGTGATTTGCTAACCTCAGCTGAGTTCCTTCTATACTTATTAACTGACATTAAAAAAAAAGATTTATTGATTTTTGAGAGAGAAAACGTGAGTGTGGAAGGGGCAGAGAGAAGGGGGGACATGTAATCCAAAGCAGGCTCTGAGCTGACAGCAGACAACCTGATGTGGAGCTTGAACTCCTGCACCATGAGATCATGACCTGAGCCAAAGTTGGAGGCTCAACCAACTGAGCCAACCAGGTGCCCCTAGCTGACATTTTATTAAAAAGTTTATTTATTTTTGAAAGAGAGAGAGTGCGTGCACACAAGTGGATGAGGGGCAGAGAGAGAGAGAGGGAGAGAGGGAGACCCAGAATCCAAAGCAGGCTCCAGGCTGTGAGCTGTCAGCACAGAGCATGACTCTGGGCTTGAACTCACAAACTGTAAGATCATGACCTGAGCCAAAATCAGCGCTTAATCAACTGAGCCACCCAGATGCCCCTATTAGCTGACATTCTAATGTAAGGAAGAGCTTTCTCTTTTCTGTTTGTATTTATATGTGTAAGTTTATATTTGTTTAAATTTGCGTGGGGTCATGATTTCTAATTTAATTGAATTTCTTATTTAAAGTTATAATCTATCGGGGCGCCTGGGTGGCTCAGTCGGTTGGGTGTCCGACTTCAGCTCAGGTCACGATCTCACGGTCCGTAAGTTTGAGCCCCGCGTAGTGCTCTGGGCTGATGGCTCAGAGCCTGGACCCTGCTTCCGATTCTGTGTCTCCCTCTCTCTCTGCCCCTCCCCCCTTCATGCTCTGTCTCTCTCTGTCTCAAAAATAAAAACGTTAAAAAAAAAAAAATTAAAGTTATAATCTATCACTCTGTTTTGATGCTTAAATTGTTCTAGGTTTGTCTTAATTGTTCTGTCAGTGGGAGACCTGTTTTAAGCTGGCTCCTGTTTCCTTTTGACATATTTTTCTTCTTTGAGAACACCCTTACCCAGCAGGATGTTTCAAGCCATATAAGAGTTCATCTGTGTTTTATTCTTTTGATTTTACTTTATGTTTACATGTATTTTTTAAAATATAAAATTTATTGTCAAGTTGGTTTCCATACAACACCCAGTGCTCATCCCAACAGGTGCCCTCCTCAATGCCCGTCACCCACTTGCCCCTCCCTCTCACCCCCCATCAACCCTCAGTTTATTCTCAGTTTTTAAGAGTCTCTTATGGTTTACCTCCTTCCCTCTCTGTATAGGTTTACCTATTTTTTACATTTTATCTTGCTTTTTATACTTTTTTACTTAAAAGTTTATTTTATCTGTATTTTACTTTCTACACTTTTATCTCTGATCCATTTGTAGTTTTTTCTTGCATATTGTGTGAGTTGTGGGTCTCATTTTATCTTTTCCCATATGGTAAACAAGTTGCTCCAGCATCACTTACTATAAAGTCTATCTTGGCCCCATTTTTTTTGAGATGTCAGCTTATCATAAATTGAATTTCCATATGTAGTTATATTCTATTTCACTGGGGTGTTCATTCATGTATGAAGGCCATGCTGTTTTAATTATAGAGGCATTATAGTATATTAAAATATCTGTTTAGGGGTGCCTGGGTGGCTCAGTTGGTTAAGCATCCAACTTCGCCTCAGGTCGTCTCACAGCTCGAGGGTTCAGGCCCTGCATTGGGCTCTGTGCTGACAACTCCCCTGCTCACACACGGTCTCTCTCTCAAAAATAAACATTAAAAAAAATTAAAAAAAAACAACTGTTTGGACCAGTCCTCCCTCAGTAGCTTTTCTTTGCCAGTCTTCCTAGATATTTTTAAGGAACAGTTACTTTGAATCAAAAATTACTGAATAGAGAGGGAAATTAAATTTGTCTTAAAAATTTTTTTAAATGTTTATTTTTTGAGAGAGCAGGAGCGAATGAACTGATGGGACTATTGAACTGTTGGGGAGGGGCGGAGAGAGATGGAAACACAGAATCTGAAGCAGGCTCCAGGCTCTGAGCTGTCAGCACAGAGCCTGACATGGGACTCGAACTCATGAACTGTGAGATCATGACCTGAGCCGAAGTCAGACACTTAACCAACTGAGCCACTGAGGCATCCCAAATTTATCTTTTTATATTTAGCTCTATTCTAGCCAAAAAAAAAATTTTTTTTTTAAATTTAAATCCAAGTTAGGTAACATATAGTGTAATAATGATTTCAGGAATAGAATTTAATGATTCATCACTTACATATAACACCCAGTGCTCATCCCAACAAGTGTCCTCTTAATGCTCCATGCCCCTTTAGCTCTCCCCACCACCCAACACTCTTCCAGCAACCCTCACTCAGTTTGTCCTCTGTACTTAAGAGTTCTCTTATGGTTTATCTCCTTTTGTTTTTATTATTTTTGCTTCCCTTATGTTCATGTGTTTTGTATCTTAAATTCCACGTGAGTGAAATCATATGATATTAGTCTTTCTCTGACAAATATCCTCTAGTTCCCTCCACATTTTGCAAGTGGCAGGATTTCATTCTTTTTGATCACCGAGTAATATTTGATTGTGTATATATACCACATCTTCTTTATCCATTCATCCGTCGATGGACATTTGGGCTCTTTCCATACTTTGGCTATTGTCGATAGTGCTGCTATAAACATAGAGGTGCATGTGCCCCTTCAAATCAGCACTCCTGTATCCTGTGGATAAATACCTGGTAGTGCAATTGCTGGATCATAGGAGCGGTTCTATTTTAATTTTTTGAGGAACCTCCATACTGTTTTCCAGAGTGGCTGAACCAGTTTGCATTCCCACCAGCAGTGCAAAAGAGATCCTCTTTCTCTGCATCTTTGCCAACATCGGTTGTTGCCTGAGTTGTTAATGTTAGCCATTCTGACAGGTGTGAGATGGTATCTCATTGTGGTTTTGATTTGTATTTCCCTGATGATGAGTGATGTTGAGCATTTTTTCATGTGTCTGTTAGCTATGTGGATGTTTTCCTTTGAAAAGTGTCTATTCATGTCTTTGCCCATTTCTTCACTGATTATTTGTTTTTTGAGCATTGAGTTTGATTAAGTTCTTTATAGATTTTGGATATTAACCCTTTGTCTGCTATGTCATTTGCAAATATGTTCTCCCCTTTCGTTGGTTGCGTTTTAGTTTTGCTGATTGTTTCCTTTGTTGTGGAGAAGCTTTTTGTCTTGATGAGGTCCCTCCCAATAGTTCATTTTTGCTTTGTTTCCCTTGCATGGAGGGAAGTAAGAAGTTGCTGTGGCTGAGGTCAAAGGGGTTGTTGCCTGTTTTCTTCTCTAGGATTTTGATGGCTTCCTGTCTTACATTTAGATCTTTAATCCATTTTGAGTTTATTTTTGTGTATGGTGTAAGAAAGTGGCCCAGGTTCATTTTTCTGCATGTTGTTGTCTAGTTTTCCCCTTACCATTTGCTGGAAGAGACTATCTTTTTTCCACTAGATATCCTTTCTGCTTTGTCAAAGATTAGTTGGCCATACATTTGTGGATCCATTTTGGGTTCTCTGTTCTGGTCCATTGATCTGTGTGTCTGTTTATGTGCCAGTACCATACTGTCTTGATGATTACAGCTTTGTAATATAGCTTGAAGTTCGGAATTGTGATGCCTCCAGCTTTGGTTATCTTTTTCAGGATTGCTTTGGCTATTCTGGGTCTTTTCTGGTTCCATACTAATTTTAGAATTGTTTGTTCTAGCTCTGTGAAGAATGTTGGTGTTATTTTGATAGGGATTGCATTGAATGTGTAGCTTGCTTTGGGTAGTATTGACATTTTAACAATATTTGCTTTTCCAGTCCATGAGCATGGAATGTTTTTTTTGTGTCTTCTTCAGTTTATTTCATAAGCTTTCTATAGTTTTCGGTGTATAGACTTTTCACATGTTTGGTTAGGTTTCTTCCTGGATATCTTATGGTTTTGGTGCAATTGTAAATGGGATTGAGTCCTTGATTTCTCTTTTTGCTGTTTCATTATTGGTATATAGAAATGCAACCGATTTCTGCACATTGATTTTATATCCTGTGACTTTGCTGAACTCATGGATCAGTCCTAGCAGTTTTTGGTGGAGTCTTTTGGGTTTTTCATATAGAGTATCATGTCCTTTGCAAAGAG